TATGTAAATTAGTAAATACATTGAAAAAAGAGGCTATGTATCCATAATTAAACCCATAACCAAAATCCACTAAATTCAAAACACACATGTATAGAAAGTAGAGAGAGTTTAAGCACACACCACACTTGTAGTAATTTCATGTTCACACCAACAACTTAAAAACAAGAAGGAAACAAATTACAAATAGATTTTCAACTGCCTAGCAAAGTTCCACAGGCTTTATTATAATTATGTGTGATTTAACAACACTAATTATACTTAATTATACCAAGATTATTTAAATTCGTAAGACATAGTCTTCAAATATCCTATGGTCTAGAACTGAAATATTTCACTTGGCATGGTTAGTGGGTAAGAATAGTTAGCCTCCACAGCGGCGAAGCTAGCATCTACTATGCTATTGTTGTTCTCCTCTATCTGCATCAATTTACCAAACACAACAACAATACAATGTTAGACAATATTTCCGCAAAGTAGTCTACTAACTCAATCCAATTTCGTAAAATATGCTATGATGAGAATGTTATGGTGATTTGTTACCTTTTCGAGGAGATACTTATTGGCATTTTTTAGGACCCCTTCCTTCATACACAAAAAGATCACCGTTAAACAATGTTACATTTAAACTGTTTTATTAGGTACTTTATAAACCAAAATCCTGACTCATATAACTGCTATGAAGCTGAATATACAATGATGTTCATGTGCTTACCTTGTTCCTCAGGGACTGAATTTCTTGAAGCATAATCTCCATCTACAAATTTTGACATATAAAATTCTCTAATCATCAATACGTATACTCACTCTCACTATAAAATATTTATTGTTTACATTTATATCATGCATACCTTAGCAGAGCGAATCTGAGAAATCCAATACTCAAGATGCTTCTCAAGCAAAAGAAGTTCTTCAAGATTCATCGCCCCATCTCCTCCTCCAAACATATACCTGAATTCATTTTACAATTATAACTCCATATAGACAACTTAGTAAGGAGATAGTATGTAAATAATTCATCTATATATACCTTATTCCTTTCTGAAGCATCTCAATCTCTTGCTTAAGCACGTTGACCTCATCTTTCGGATCCTGGAAAATTAACTTTTGTTTCAATGTTTCTGTACTACTTATAATAATATTTTGAAGTGGATACGAAAAATTTGAATTATTGAGTTCCAATTAGTGACCATATGTCCGTACACATATGTACATGTACTTATTTAAAATATAAAATGAAATACATATATGCATCAATAAAATAATAGGTCAGAGCGTGCCAATAACAATAGTTTAGGGCGACCTTTTTTAAATGAGTAGGGCAACTTTTATTAAAAGGCTACGCTGATATAAACCATAATACAATTCGTTCGAAATATAATGTGATTGAATAACCATATATTAAAATATTTTAAAGTGTAATATGGGGTATTGTTGTCTCTAAGCATCTTTTACTTTAACAGTAATTAATTTGACTTGTTTTATTTTTACTTTATGCTTGGTACAACGTTCCAGCATATATATAAGTTCCTCAAACTAGTAGACAAATTAATAATTCGGAGAATTGGAGATAGCTAGGTGCAATGAATGTTTACTTCACTAACTATTTCATGTAGAATCGGAATCAGGTGCCTTACCTAACCTACTGAGTATTTATTTTCAAATCAATTTACAACGTCCAACAGAGTTTCGTTTTGCATGTCAACACGTGTAACCGTTTTGCATATTAAAATAACAATACTTCATATTTTATGGAGGAACTAACTTACGCTTACAAAAGCGAAATAGAAGAATTGATTAACATGTCAAAACATATCCTAGACATTGAGCATCAACTAATTTTAATCAAACCGTAAAATATCATTAAAAACACAGTGAACAATCAAATCCCAAAGGTCAAAGAATTTTTTCCTACATAAGTAAATAAAGCTTTAATGAAAACGAAAGAGAAGAGCGACGTACAAGATTTGGGGGTTGCAGTTGTTCTTGAGCAGTAAAAGTAGCAGAAGAAGAACCACGACCACCACCAGTACACTTCATGTACTTATCAATCATTCCCTCCATTGTTCTGATTTTTAATCAAATTTCC